GACATTGACTACAAGTCAGGAACTCCCATGCAGAGGTGCATTTGATTTGAGTCATGGAATTCCATTCAGTCACCTCCTTTAAACACTTAATACTGTAGATGGCTTTTTCATGTTGAATAATTAATAACGTTATGAAATGTCTTAATTGCGTTTTAGTTTAATTTCTGTCTTTCCTGCAAATAGAGGCTGAGAAAGTTAGCACTTTTTAAATCCTTTGCATAATCGTACATGTCTATGTATTTATTTCTTGTTGCACAGTGCTGCAAAAGCTCCCTACCTGGCAAAGTTTAAAGTAAAACGGTGTGGAGTATCTGAGTTGGAAAGGGAAGGTCAGTAAAACCAATTGTATCCTGGATATTTTACATTTCGTTTGTTGTGAAATCTGCTGACATTAAAGATTTCTTGTTCATGTCTAGTCAACCCTGTCACTCAGTTCAAGTGGTCAGGGATATAATTGAAGGGTGTATACAGAGACAAGATTCTGTTTTCATTTTTGTTGATTAGCTTGGAAATGGTTTTCATAGAGTGGTACTTTGACAAAGGAGGCCATTCAACCCATCAATCCGATGTGGCTTCTTTAAAGCATTATCTGGTTTTTATTTACCCTGGCATAATTCATCTTCAGAAACTTTCAATGAGTTCTGAGGAAGGGTCACCGGACCTGAAACGTTAACTCTGTTTTTTCCTTCACAGATGCTGCCAGACCTGCTGAGCTTTTCCAGCAACTTTGTTTTTGTTCAATGAGTACTGTTAGGGACCTTTGTTCAATTGAAGCACACATTATTTTTAAACATAGTAATTAACACATTAAAAATGGACATCAGCTCTACCTGAGCCAATAAACTCATTGCAATCCCTGACATATCACTCCACAGCCCTGACTTGCAGGACTGAAGGTGAGTAGTGAACTTATAATTTATCAGAACCTGGGATTGTGCATTTTCCCAGGGGATTAATATGCAGATCACTCAGGGCCACTATTGCCCATCATCCACTAACTGATTCCAATAGAAGAATCCTATGAGCTGGGCTATTATTTACTTGGAGGAATCCAGGAGTGGGATAACAACCAGCCCAGATATTTCCTCCAGTTTTGTATTTTTTAAGAAAACAATGAGCTGTACTTTGTTTCACAGGAATGTCCCTCAATCCCTCATGTTTATTAACTGCTTTGAAATTTGATGACTGTAAACCATTTCACAAACTTCAAATGACAAGATCAAAGGCAGATTCTCTCCTCTGGGCAGCCAAGGTTGAGGGCAAGATGCTCATCAGGACATGGGGAGTTAATTGCCATTCTTTGAATTAAATCTGAAACAGGATAGTGCTAGAATTCAAGATATAATCTCAAAGACAGTGGCTGTGCTATTGAACACTCAATACCGCATTGCAGTTGTGCCCTACAGTTACCTGCCCAGAGATTAATGCGGTCACTTTTCTTTGCTTAAAGCAGGGGGAATGGAAGTTGTGTTTTAGTAGAAAGATTTTTGCTGAAGTAAAACGGCCAAATGCAGACATGCCTCAAATTTTAGCTCCCTGACACTAGGTTGATGTTAAATTAGTGGTAATTGCAGTTCAGTATAACTAAGCAATGATAGACCTAAACATTTTCCAACTTGGATAGCTTTTGACATTACAAAAAATTGCAAAATAGCAAACTTGAGCAATTGGTGTGTTTCAATACTGTATAATTTGACTTTGTTTCCCTTGTTGTGCCTCAGTATCTGATCCTCTGTAAGATGTATCAAGCCATTTTTAATTCTAAATGTGTTGCATAAAAGCAGGTTCTTTGTATAACCAAATCGCTCCATGGAATAAGCTATCCAATCACTATCAGCTCCTCCTTTTATTTAGTAACTAAATAAAAGATCAGTTTTGTGGAAACCACTATGCCATAGATGTAGCTTCTCACTATACTTGACATTAAAGAATACGACCACCTGTACACCAGGGGTAACAAGAACATCTTTTTGATGTATTGTCCATATACTCTTTGAGTGAGGCTTTGTGAGTAAGTACTGAGTGAGTACCAGATTAGCTGGTCCATGTTGCTCCCCACAGTTGCACAGTGAGTACACACTTAGCCTAAAAGCTAAGGTAGCTAAGCTGCTAGTGACTGTGGGAAAAATTTTGCATCAAAAAGCAGCATCTTCTAGAGAAGATAGTCAAAAGCTTTGGTGTGTTCTAATCATCTTTAAACTTAAATGCCCAAATAAATCAATGTTTGCCAATCTTGTATTATCATTTCTGTGCTTTAACCACATGAGTTAAACATTGAAGTGACATGTTATTACAGTGAAGAATAATGAATATGATTTCCAGGTCTTCGGTCCTGTTCTGATGACACTGATGACAGTACAGAGAATGATGATTCTGAAAGGATATGTTGGCAGGCTGCCATTTTTAAAGTTGGTGATGACTGCAGACAGGTAAAACCCTTCATTTCACTTCAGTAGTTTTATAATGGTTTATAAATACTGACATTAACTTAACAAACCTGAATGAATCAAAATAAGAACTAGTGGACATTTGGCGGGATCTGCTTACATTGGAGTATGACCTAATGCCCAAAAAAGACCGAATTCAAACAGCTTCACAAGAGCATTACCAAACAAAATTTGACATCGAGCCAACTAAAGTGATATCAGGGCTAGTGGCCAGAAGTTTGGCCAAAGGGAAGGTTTTATTGAGTGTGTGAAAAGCGGAAAGCTTGGTTGAGATATTTACAAGTTTAAGAGAGAGAATTCTGGAGTATTTACTTCAGACAGTGGGAGTCGTGGCTACCAATGGATTACAGATGAAAATTATTGTTCTGCACAGGAGGCGTGATTTTGGAAAGTTGTGGGGTTGGAGAAACTGATGGTGATTTGGTGGGCTAGTTCAACGGAATGATTTGAAATTGAGATGAGAATTATGAAGTCGAGACTTTGCTTCAAGTAATTGTCATTAAGTGCTTTTGGATGTGTGTATACATAGTACAGCACAATATCAATTCATGTTTGCTCATTTGTTCTTCGAAAATGACATTTAAATTTTTGTAGTTTTAGTTTTCCCACTAGCTCCAAATGATTTAGATCTGGTCAGCTATTAGAAAGTCATTTTAACCAGTGAACTTGTAACAAATGGAGGGTGCTGGAGATGCCTTCTCCCAATCACCCTCTCCAACGGTGACATGGATGCTGCACTAAAAACAAGACAATGTTTGCCTATTGCAGGTCACTTATACTTCCCATAAACCCAAAAATTAGGTGCCAGTATATTGCTGTAATAAAATGAAACCTGATTGAATGAGATAATGGCCAGTGACCACACAAAACCTGCAATCTGTTTTGATGGATAAAAATCCTGACCCTCAAACTGAGTCAAGTTTCAACTTTTGTTTTGCATGGAGACTATATTTGGAAGTGTGATTTTTCTAACCCCTTTCCATTTTAGCAGTAACTATTTTCATGTTCAGTGTGAAACTTCATGATAATAATTCTGTGTTATTATACCTGGAACATTTTTGTTAGAAAATTACTTTCAAATAGTTTAATGTTTTTAGTATCCTGGCTCTCAAAATGTGTTCATTGTGTGTTTGTCTCCACAGGATATGTTAGCGTTACAAATCATTGGTCTTTTCAAGAACATTATTCAGCTTGTTGGTTTGGATCTCTTTGTCTTTCCATACAGAGTAGTGGCAACAGCTCCAGGGGTATGTCTTGCATGGTAGAATGATATTGAAGCATGTTTCTATTAGTTTCTGTGATTGTTCAGTAAACGTATTGGGATCCAGCTACATGCATACAAGTTAAAAATAGAAGGACAGCTATACTGTCACTGCCTGAAGATCTAACCTTGAAAAGCTGCCATATGTCAGAACTACACATTTCTGGAGTTGATATCGTGTTCAAAGAATCAATTGTACCTCATGTTCAATTGAGACCGAATGCCAGCAAATGGAGAATTTCTCTCCATAAAGCTAGAAGAAATAGGATGGGGAATAGGCCATTCATCCTGCAAGGCTGCTCTGTCATTCAATAGAATCCAAGCTGATCTGACATTGTTCTCAATGTCAGAACCTTTACTTCAAATAATGTAGGCTTTTTTTAATGTATATGCTAGCTTTTCAACAAATTCTTGTTTTTTTAATAAACAGACCAAGTGTTCTTTCCTTGAGGCCTTGCTGCAAAGGGCCGAAATTTATCAATATGTACTAGTAATTGGCAGCTATGAAATCAGTGCAGGCAAAATCATGTCAGGGTCAGCATTAATTTCCTGATGTGCCAGATAAGCAGATGAGACAGGTCGCTGGTAAAGAGCATTTGTAAAACCGACTGTGTGGTGTTTACTGTTTGGGTTATTGTCAGCTTATAACTGGGTGAATTAAATCTTGTATAGCAATGGAGTTATTGGATGGAAGCTCATTGTAAGTGGATTTTAAGTGTAACAGCAATTTAACTTTTCAGTGTGGAGTTATTGAATGCATCCCTGACTGCAAATCACGAGATCAGCTGGGCCGGCAAACTGATTTTGGAATGTATGATTACTTCAGGAACCAGTACGGAGATGAATCAACTTTAGCATTCACAAAGGTAAAGTTGGGCATCTCTGCAACAAGACATATTGGCTGTAAATTGGAAGGGGCAATCAATGATATGTTATTGCTGCAAAGAAATGAGTGTTCTTTTCTTTAATTGGAGAGGGTCAAGAAGTGACCTTACAGGTTAGAAAGATGTGGGAGAATGCAAAACCAAACCACATGGGGATAAGATGGTGATTAATAAATCCAGTAGGGAATTCTGGAAGAAATAAAAATTATCCAGAAAATGATGGGAGTGTGAAGAATAGTTGTGGTGAGTAGCATTAAAACATTTAATAGGAAGCTAGGTAAGTACATGAAGGAGAAGAGGATGGAAGGCTATGCTAATGGGGTTAGATGAAGTAGGGTAGACGGGACTCTTGTGGAATGTAGACAGTGCCAAAGACCTGTTGAGCCAAATGGCCCGTATCTGCTCTGACTTCGGTTAACATGACTATGATTGTTTGATCTAGGGCTATTAGAAAGGCCTTTACTGCTCTGTGGTGCATATTATTGCTGTTGCTCACATCTCTGCATGATTTCACCTAGTTTAGGGTTGCCCAATCATCTTCAATTGCTTCACTGAAGACCTTTCATCATAAGGCCAGAGAAGAGGCATTTGCTTACGATAGACAGCATTCACTCCCATTCATAATTCCTTAGATATTAAAGTACCCCACTCCTGTGTGGAGCAAGACTTGGGTAACATTCAAGGCTGAGAATGATAACTGGCAAGTAGTTGTTGCAACACACAAGTATTGGACAATGTTCATCTCCAACCAGAGAACCTAACCATCTCCCCTTGATGTTCAATGATATTGCCATTGCTGAACTGAGAGGCTAGGAATGTTGTGGCTCCTGATTTCTCCAGTGTGTGTCTACTGTCTACAAAGTACAAATCATCGGCATGATGGAATACTCTCCACTTGCCCGGAAAGGTTCTGCTCCAACAACACAAAGAAAGAAATGAAATTTCTACCCTCTCTTAAGAATTTAGATCTTGACACACCAAGCTTAAGCATATGCTCTGTGCATGTTATAAACCAAGTTATCTTTTTTTGGGAAAAGGAAGGTGGGACTAGTTTTGTTAATATACCTGCTGTCTTTGATGTTGGTTCATTGATCATCCACCCTACAATTATTATTTTCTGTCTTTCTCGAAGGCACGGTATAATTTTATCCGCAGTATGGCTGCCTATAGCCTCCTCCTCTTCTTGCTCCAAATCAAAGACCGACACAACGGGAACATCATGTTGGACAAGAAAGGTCACCTCATCCACATAGGTCAGTGCTCAACTTGCAGGAACAGTGCAAAGTCTTGTCAGCATCAAAAACCTAGTTGTTGATTTTTGTTTCAGTGTCTTTGCCAAATCACTAGTTTTATTTCTGTTGCCTTCCCCTGTTCCTGTTGAACAGCCCCTCACATCTATCACTTTCCATTTCCCAGTCACCAGTTCTTTTCAGTGGACTTCTTTTTAAGCTAATTTTTTACCCATTTCCTAATTATTAAACCTAAGATTGAATGTAACAATAGATGGTAATTCTTTAGATAGGAAACACCACTGGTACAAGCACACACTTGAGGATGATGTAACGGTAATATCACTGGGGGGCTAATAATCCTAGGGACACTGGTTCAAATCCCTCTGTCAGAGTAGGTGGAATTTAAATTTAATTAGATTATTAAATACCTTTATAGCTAGTCTCAGTAATGATGACCATGAAACAACATTGATATAAGATTGTCACTAATGGCATGTAAAAAAAATCTGCCAGAGATAGCAAGAACTGCAGATATTGGAGTCCGAGTCAATACAGTGTGGAGCTGGAGGAACACAGCAGGTCAGGCAGCATCAGAGGAGCAGGAGAGTCGACGTTCCAGTTCTGATGAAGGGTCCTGACTCAACTTTCCTGCTCCTCTGATGCTGCCTGACCTGCTGTGTTCCTCAAGTTCCACGCAAGGAAATCTGCCATCCTCACCTGGTCTGGTCTGCATGTGAATCCAGATTCACAGCAATGTGATTGACCCTTAAATGATCCAACAAGCCACTCAATTCAAAGGCCTAGGAAATCGGCAGCGAATGTTGGTTTTGCAATGACACTCAACCGTGATGGAATAAAGAAAAAGAAACACAAACCAATAACTCTGTGGAGATTGGGGATGGAAAAGAAGTATATAAGTAGAAGAACAAAAACGATGAACTACGGATGCTGGATATCTGAAACAAAACCAGAAAGTACTGGAAAAACTCAGCAGATGTGGTAGTATCTGTAGAGAGATAGAAACAGCATTAATGTTCGTGTCCAACTGTTAACTCTGCTTTTCTTTCTGTGCTGCCATACTGCTGAGTTTCTCCAGTAAATTTTGTTTTTATTGTATGTTATAGAAGATCTCTGGTCTATGAAAAGCACCAAAATCGTATCTTGGTTCTCAAGAATCTGCATCTTGACATATGCTGATTAAGTCATTGATCAGCAAGTTGTTGCTTATGAACCTCCATTTATTCTTTGGTTCTGGGTTGACTAGTTTTTAAAAAAAGCAAGTAGTGAACATAAAGCTGGAGGATTTACCCCGTTACTGCCCACGACCACTGTTGTTGTCATTGCTGGACAGAGCTGTGGTTAATCTGCACTCCATGTACTGTGCACTGTCCTTGTCCCTATTTTACAACGGAGAGATAGAGAGAATTGCCGCAGCATCCTGCCACCTACATGGCAATAAAGGTGTGCAGCAAACTTCAAATGGTGCACTTCTGGCAGTGAAAGAGACTACAATTACAAAGTTTAAAAGACATTTGGATAAGTACATGAATAAGAAATGTTTGCGGCAAGTATGGGCAGATGGGGCTAGTTTCGTTTGGCATTATGGTTGACATGGACTGGTTGGACCGTGAGGTCTCTTTCGGTGCTGTATGACTCCATGACTCTAATCCATGAGACGCTGATTCAGTGGAAAAGGTGCAAAAAAGATTTGCAAGGGCATTAGCACACCTCTGCATCTATATTCGGCAAAAAAAAAGCAATGTTGGGTTTGATTTCTTTAGGTATGTTAACACTGAGGTTCTGCCGACGCTGGAGTCAGAGATAACTGTGTGGAGCTGTAGGAACACAACAGGGCAGGCAGCGTCAAGAGGAACAGGAAAGCTGACATTTTGGGCCTTTCTGAAGAAGGGTCCAGACCCGAAACGTCAGCTTTCCTGCTCCTCTGATGCTGCCTGGCCTGCTGTGTTCCTGTAGTTCCACACTGTGTTAACATTGAGGTGTGACCTTGGTAGAAATCTTGAAAATTCTGAGAAGGTTTCGTAATGTATCCGTTGTGCTGAGGAAACCATATTTGGGGGTCATAAATATGCAGTAGTCATTATATAATCCAATAGTTTTAAAGTTGCCAGAATTCTTTAATTATAAGTTTGGTTATTAGGCGTCACTTGCTTCCCTTTTACTAAAAAGCTGCTGATTGCTAGCCAATGGTTGAACAATAAGTGTGGACAGTATCAATGCCAAGTTCGTGACCGAGAAATATCCTCTTGAGGAAGGGGAAAGGGACCAATAATGTCTTGATGAGCAGGGCCAGGAGCCATCCCTTGCCCCAGACCTGCAAATCTGAAAGTGGAGCAGTCACTGCTGATAAGTGGCAGCTGGTAAGTGTCTACGTACTCATGTCTTCAGAATTAAAGCGACTGCTGTAATTGAGTCACTGTAGAAGCAGGTGTTTTCTGCTGAAGATCTTACACCTGAGGCTGGTTCAACCACTGGGAAGGTGGTGACTGCCCTCTGCCTGCTACTGAATTATATCATTGATGTTTGCTGAATGGCTGTTGTGTTATGAGTGGATTGAAGGGGCCGATATGTGTGTGTTCTTTGAGGCAAAAAGCTAGCATGCCTGATGCTAGAATATTGGAGCAGGGCCATCCCTCCTGTGTCACGTTGAGCTCTGTAGATTTACAGGAGTGTCTCATTTTCACCATTCAATCTTTGCAAATTTAACAGGCTGAGCGAAATAAAAAGAAACCTTGCATTTATGCAGTGTCTTTCACCACCCACAATGTTCCAAAGCAATTGACAGTCAATTAAATACTTGAAGATTTGCAATATTGTAATTTAAAGTAGGAAACATGGCAGCCAGTTCGTGCACAGCAAGCTGCCACAAACAGCTATGAGTTTAAAGTGTTGGTGATTTTAATTGAAGGCTAAATCTTAATCAGGACACTGGGGAGAAATGTTCTGCTCTTGGTAATGAACCCATGAGATCTTTTTGAGCTATCTGAAAGGGCAGATGTCCCCATTAGTTTAATATCTCCTCTGACAATGCAGCATTTCCTCAGCGCTGCACAAATGTGTCAGCCTACGTTATGTTCTCAAGTATGTTGATTGTGGCTTGAACTCTGAAGCCAGAATGTTACTGCTGAGCTTAGACCAATAACAAACACAGAATGCTGGAGAAACTCAGCAACTCTGACAGCATCTGTAGAGAGAGAGAGAAGCAGAGTTAACGTTTTGAGTCCAGTATGACTCCTGTTCAGAACGAAGAGTTATACACCTAGCCTAATGACCCGGTGACACTGGCAGAGAACTTGCTGGCTAAGCTCTGTAGGTCGCTAGGTTTTCTGTGGTTGAATAACAGTGGGCTGCCAAAAGTTGAGCTTCCAGATAAAGTTTCAGGCTGCAGGGAACAGCCTGCTGCCTCTGTTGAGTGAGAGTATATAGTTTCCTTCAGGTAAACAGCAACTCTTCCCTGGTGGATTCACCTGTGTAGCAAAAAATAAATTACCAGTATGAACATGTTTAGTTTGGAGAGAAGCCTGTGACTGCTGATTTAATCATGCCATATGTATTTTCCGCAGATTTTGGTTTCATGTTTGAAAGCTCACCGGGAGGCAATCTCGGCTGGGAGCCCGATATCAAACTGACGGATGAAATGGTGATGATCATGGGAGGGAAGATGGAGGCCACGCCCTTCAAATGGTTCATGGAGATGTGTGTTAAGGGATACTTAGCGGTCAGGTAAGAAGTCTGTGGACAAACAAATATTTGTCTGGTTTTACCGGGGTCATGCAGAGAGAGTTTTTATGTTACGTTTTCAAGAACTGTGGTGCAATTTAAACCCTCAGTGATATTTGCCAAGTAGGTCCTCCCCCTCGTGCATGTATTGGGGGGGTTCTTGTATGGCTGGCACTGCAATGCAGATAGGCAGGATCTGTTTGTATTTAATAGAATAGGGAAGATGGTTGACCTTTTTAGTTGCTGATGCAGGCGTCCAAACTTAAGCTGCGTTGAATGTCTCCGCCAGCTGCCCTTTCGGTTCGAGAGCCGGTAATTAGAGAAGGGAGTGGTTGGGAGCGATTTTCTCTGTCCTGCCAGAAATCTTGACAGAAGCAAAATTCAGAGTAGTATTTAAAAACAAAGTTGATACTTTTTGATCCTTTTCGTAATACTTATTGAGAAAGGTCAGCAAAATGGACTTAGTGAACAGCACTTCCAGTGAAAAGCTATGTGCCGAATGGGTCTTCTACATTGTGAAATGTTATAGTTCTATTAATAAAGTCTTGTTGACATGTCCTAATTGGTGATCCACAAATTAACTTGAATGGGAATTAAAATAAAGTCTCTCCGGTTCACTAGAAAATGTTTTTGTTCTAACATGTGAATCTCTCGGCCTATTTATCTATATCTTTGCGGTTTCAAACTGGAACAAATCATTCTTCTGGGATTGCTAGATGTTTCCTTGATAGCTCCACATGTTTGGACAAGACATGGCTGAGTTGTACAGATGAGAAACATTTCACTGCATAGTCTTAGCCATTGTCAGCTGAAAAGCTGGTGAGGGTGATGTAATTGGTCTTAGTATCTCAGACTGCTGATGGGCAAGGCTGGTCAGCCTCTTGAGTGCCCAGTTGCTGAATGATGGACGAATGGTGACTTTGCCTGTTTGGACCCAAACACAATGGGATTCTGTAAAGTGCTGCGAGTGTTCAATGGGACGATTGTGAAACTGCTTCAGTTGTGAGTAAATCCAAAACTAGGGGCCATAAATGCCAAACAGTCACTATTAAGGAAATTGGGAAAAGTTTCCTTACTCAAGTGTGTTTAAAACTACTGCTTGGTGGGGGGAAAGAATAAAAGGGATTACCTGAGGTAAGGTAGAGGCAGCTCATAAGAACATAGGAAATACAGTAATAAAAATAAGAAATAGGAGTAGGCTCTTTGGGCCATCAAGCCAGCTCTGGATCACCTGATTGTGACCTTAACTTCTCCTTCTAACCTGTCCCCATAACCCATGACTACTTTTGTTAATCAATTTTGCCTTGAATGTATTGAATGACCCATACACCACGGAAGCAGATCCTTCGGTCCAACTCATCTGTGCTGACCAGGCTTCCCAAACTAAACTAGTTCTGTTTTCCTGCATTTGGCCCATATCCCCCTCAACCCCTATTCGTGTACCTGTCCAAACATCTTTTTAAATGTTGTAACTGTACCTGCATCTACCACTTCCTTCGGCAGTTCATTTCACACACGAACCACCCTCTGTTTGAAAAAGATGCCCCTTAAGTCCCTTTTACATCTTTCCCCTCTCACCTTAAACCTGTGCCCTCTAGTTTTGGATTCCCCTGCCTTTGGGAAGAGACCTTGGCTCTACACCTTATCCATTCCTGTCATGATTTTATAAACCTCTGTAAGGTCACCTCTTAACCTCCAACATTCCGGGGAAGAAATCCCAGCCTCCCGTTAAAACTCGAACCCTCCATTCCCATAACATCCTTGTCAATCTTTTCTGCATCCTGTTCAGTTTAATAATATCCTTTCTAAAGCAGGACGACCAGAACTGTACCTAGTACTCCAAAAGTGACCACACCAACCTCAACATAACGTCCCAACTCCAATATTCGGTTCACTGAGCAATGAAGGCAAGAGTTTCAAATGCCTTTGTCATCACCCTGTCTACCTTTTGATGCAACTTTCAACCAGCTATGTGCTTGAACCCCAGAGTCTGTCTGTTCAACAAAACTCCCTGGGACCCCAACATTAACTGTGTAAGTCCTGCCCTTGTTCATCTTGGCAAAATGCAACACCTCACATTTATTTGAAATTAAACTCCCATCTGACACTCCTGTCTGGGCAAGAGAATTCCAGACGCTGTTGGCCTTCTGGGAGAGAAATTCCTCCTCCTCATTTCCCTGTTAAGTGAAGAAACATTTGAAATAGTGCCCCTAGCTCTAGATTCCCCATGATGGAAAACACCCTCTTAGCATGTACACTGTCAAGCCTATTCAGGTTTTTTTGTATTTCAATAAAATCAGTTCGCATTTTCCCAAGCTCCAATAAATACAGGACCGATCTGCTCACGTCGAGCAAAACCAGCAAAGAACAGTTGGGCTAAATGGCCTATTTCTATGCTGATCATTCTCAGTAGTATTTAAGAAATGAATGTACTCAGCGAATGAGAGGAAATTAGAATTGTTAATAACATATGAGTAAAATGAATCCTCAATCTGTCCCAGTTAATGTTGTAATCTATTTAGGGGAGCAAGCTAATTTAATTAGGAAAGAGCCTATGTTCCCACTTGATTTGTTCTGTTCTGACTTGATGTTCAATGTGTGAACCATTTGGAGCCTCTGGTGATTGCTAATGTTCTCACTGTTTAGGCCTTACATGGATGCAGTGGTGTCACTCGTTACGCTAATGCTGGATACTGGACTCCCATGTTTCCGAGGGCAGACTATCAAGCTTCTGAAGTAAGGCTTATGGTTGTTGTGCATTATTGATATTATTAACTCTTTTAAACAGAGTGACTTTTGGAACTTGCAGAGACACTTAGATTTGCCAAAAAAAATTCCTAATTCATTTTTATTAAACTTAATCCTTCAGTGAGAAAATGCTGTATTTTTCAATGAACCTTCTTTCAATCCATTTGATGTATGTGCAATATTTTTAAGCAGCACGTCTAACATTTTTTGTCATCATTTGAAATGGCAACGGTTCAAGTGTCCAGAATAGATGTCTTCAGATTTTTCTCAGCACTTTTTCCTTCTCTGTTTCAGACAAAGATTCAACCCGAACGTAAGTGAGAGAGAGGCAGCAAACTACATCATCAAAGTCATTCAGAACTGCTTCCTGAGCAACAGGTCAGTGATCTTGATTTTTTTCATCCTTGAGATTTCCTTTTCCTTTTATGTATTATTAGACTGTTGAGAGTGAACAAAGTTCACTTGTTGCTCCAGCTTTCTATGGGACAAACATGTGACTTGACACACAGTTTATATCTTGGAATGTGCGAATATCCTTCCCCTGGGATAAAAGAGGGAGAATAGTTACCTCCAAATGCATTCAGCTGGCTTCTGTTTTGGAACTGGGGAAAGACAGTGGCATAGCGGTAATATCACTGGAATAGTGATCCAAACTATTGCTCCAACGGGGCCCAAACTTAATGCCCTGGGGACCAAAGTTCGAATCCTGCCATAGCAGATGATGGAATCTTAAATTCAAGTAATAAGCCTGAAATTGGTCTTAAAAATAGTGAATTGAAACCCCGAAATAATTGTCTTAAAAACCTATCTAGTTAATTAACTAATGTCTTTTAGAGAAAGAAAGCTGCTGTCCTTACCTGGTCTACCCTCCAGACTCCCACAGGAATGTTGTTGGGGATCTAATGCTTTTACCCAATTGAAGGAATGTTGGTGATGGGCAACATCCTATGAAAGAGTTAGTCTTAAAACAAAATGTTAACACCCTGAAGGATGGAGGGAATTGATGCAGGTGATTTGTGATGAAGGCAATGTACACTGACTGAATTGCTGCAAATCTATCTTGTTACTTTCAGGAGTAAAACCTATGACATGATTCAGTACTACCAGAACCAGATCCCATACTGATGATGAACTCAAGACCGGAAAGATGCTCATGTTGTTTTCACTACTGTATAATTCTTGCACTTTTTAGCCTCAGTTTGTGTTACCCGCCTTTAAGGGTTGTATCTTAAACTGTACTCTTGGGACCTCGCAACAATCACTTGTTATAAAATGGATATTCAATCACTCTTTGCAATTATAGAACATAGAATATGTGTCAAATCATAGTTGAAGCATTAATTGCACTATATATGTTGTATGTTGAGATGATGAAATTGAAATATTAAAGTTGTATGTGGAGATATTATTTTTCTTTAGAGTATGTAAATGTGCGATACAGATATTAAATCTATAAAGAGAATAAAGTAGTTGAATTAGTTTGGTGTTGCTTGCTTTTTTTTGGTTTATGGGTCTTTTCTGATAAGTGCGGAAATGAAAGTACAGTCACTATAACACACCAGCAGGTGGTCAAAGAGCCTGTGGGACAAAGTGGAACATTTTTTGCTTAGGGAGTTATGCTTTCAAATGCACTGTCTGAGAAAGGTGGTGAAAACACGGCTATTGTAATTTTCAGAAGGGAATTGCCTTTGCACTTAAAAAGGAGAAACTTAGAGTACCTGGAGAAAAAAAGCAGAAAAATGAAACCAATTAAGTAGCTCTCGCAAAGAACCCATACACATGGGCTGAATGGTCATCTTCCATACTATAACAATGTTGCCTGTCGTGACACCAGTTCCATGATCTTCAGTTCCAGTGGGTCATCTGCTGGACCTGGCATAACCTGCAGGAGCCCCTTCTTGTGGAGACTATATTCAGTATGGATGACCTCGGAAATTTGATATTTTAAATTTCCAAGATAAATTATGACAACCACAGGCAGTCAATGCACAGTGAAAGGCAGAATACTGTGAAAGTTAGAAATGGATTCATAGAGCTGTACAGCATGGAGATAGACCCTTCAGTTCAACTCATCCATGCCAAACAGATATCCTAGATTAATCTAGTCCCATTAGGCGGCGTTTAGCCCATATTCCTCTAAACCCTTCCTGTTCATATACCCATCCAAGTGCCTTTTAAATGTTGTAAATGTAGCAGCCTCCCCCACTTCCTCTGGCAGCTCATTTCCATACACGTTGGTCTCTTTTAAATCTTTCCCCTTTCACCTTAAACCTATGCCCTCTGGTTCTGGACTCCCCCACACTGGGGAAAAGACCTTGTCTATTTACCCTATCCATGCCTCTCAGGATTTTATTTACCTCAATAAGTCACCCCTCAACCTCAAGATGCAGGGAAAATAGCTCCAGTCTATTCAGCGTCTCCCCATAGCTCAAACTGTCCAACCCTGGCAACGTTCTTGTAAATCTTTTCTGAACCCTTTCAAGTTTCACAGCATCTTTCCTATAGCACATAGACCAGAATTGAACACAATATTTCAAAAGAGGCCTAACCGATGTCCTGTACAGCTGCAACATTTCCTCCCTACTCCTACGCTCAATGCACTGACCAATAAAGGCAAGCACACCGAACGCCTTCTTGACTAGCCCCTGAAATATAACCACTGGAAATATTCAGCAGATCAGCCTGCGTTTGTAGAGTGAGTAACAGAGTTAATATTTCAGGTCAGAAATCTTTGGTCAGTGACATTCCGTTTTATTGTTTTCCTGGACAATCTGAATAGGACTACAGCAATACCTACAGCACAGTGATGCACTGCAAACCGATTGAAGCCACAACTTCCTATCATAAAATGCTTAATGTATTTGCACTAAAACCTAAAGAGTTAAAACTAGATTTTAAAGTCTCCGTTCCACTTCAGTTGCGAGCTTCAAGAAAGCAGCTGTCTTGTTTTTCTTACTCTGGTAAACTATAACAAAGAGATAGTGATTCTGAAATGGTTTGCTTGCTTTATCCCCACGATCATCACATTGATAGCAAATCCAGTGACACATTGTGGCTTCCAGCCTGATTTAATCGTGTGTAAATTTGAAAAGGAAGTGGAGATGGGACCCAGAGGAGAAATGAGTGCATGAGGGGAACTGTTTGTATGTGTTAAAACTGTTCAGTTTTTGCTGTTAGTCGACAATGTAGCCGCACGACAAAGAAATGCATTGATTCAACCAAAAACAGCAAAGATCTTGTTTAGTTGTTCAGACAGGACCAGGAGACGTAATTACTCTGCTCTGGTTCTCTAATGAGGCACATTCTTGTTGCAATGTGTTTCGACGCTGTGTCCTATTGTCCTAATAATGAGCTTTGTTCTGACAATGTAATCCACCTTGGTTCTCTGGAGAAGTGTCAATGTGAATTTCATCAGCCAGATGAAGCTGAGACTACATCATTAAGGTTTTGTGTTAACTCTCTAGAATGGGCTTCTCCTGATGCTATTAGGGCTTGGCATGTGCTGATATTTACTCCCAAAAGGTGCCGGTTGACTGGTTCCAGTCAAAGGACAACAGAATTAATGCTGCATTGATTTAGACCGACTTTGAATCACATTTTATAGTTTGCAAGTCGTGAAAACAGTAGTTGAATTCTGGAACACTTTTCCTTCAGAAAGCTGTTTAGACTGCGGGTCAATTGAAATGATGTGAGATTGAAAGATTTTGTTAGGAGTTATGAAATTGAGATGGCAAACTGCTCTAAAGGGGCCGATCAGCCGTGATTCAACTGAATGGCTGAGCAGGAACAAGGAGCTGAATGGTCTCCTACTTCTATCCCAACAGCTAGAATCTGTCCTTCAGACAATGTACACCACCAGCCATGGCTGTTATGTGACAGGAACTTGTAAAATTTACAAAATCTGTGGCACTTCAGCCTGAGCCTGAAAGATGAGGACATGAGTCCTCCCCATACTGCTACCTATCTTCTCTCCCAGCTCATCAGACCTGCTGTGCATTGGTAACAACAAATGCTGGAAATCACAGCAGGTCCAGCAGCATCCATGGAGAGATACCAAGCTAAAATTTCGAGTCTAGATGACTCTTCGTTAGAGCTTGCACATTGCTGGTGTCATGTCCTCTATTTCAGATTCTCAGCCTTGATGAACTTTCTTTTCTGTTGAATTGGTAACTAAACAGCTTTCACAACAATTTCAGTATCTGTTAAACCCAAATAAAACAAAGGACTGCAGATAACAGAGACCTGAAACAAATACAGAAATCGCTGGAGAAACTCAGCGGGCCTGGCAGCATCTGTGGAGAGAGAAACAGAGTTAATGTTTCAAGTCCGTGACCCTTTTTTTGGAACTGCATCTGGCTAGGAAGAAGTGGTATTTATGTTGATGATGGGGCAGGGCAGTGAGCGGATAGGCGGAGGTGGATCCTGAACAGGGAGAAAAACAGTTAGGAAGTAAGCCTTACATAGTAAGAGAATACTTGAAGTGAAATCATACACAGGGCTATGGGGAAAGAGCAGAGAAAATGGGATTAATTGGATAGCTCAACCAAAGAGGCAGCGCGGCCACAATGGGATGAATGTCCAATTTCTATATCATTCTGTAATTGTCTCACCTGACAATTAGAGAAAGGCCACTTGTAGAATCTTATCTATATGTGAATTGGAGCTTTTAAGGGACCAATAGCCCTAATAATGATTATACTTCTAGTTTTAAATTGCTGTCGAAAGTTAGGGGAAGGAAAAACAGAGATATATTCTATTATCTGATGGTCAGTTACTGGTGAAACCTTTCGATGCTGGAGAATTGTCCCAGGGAACTTCCGAAATTTATAATTACAGAAATTAAAGGTGCTCTGATTTCACCCTCATCCCTTCTGTACTCTCCATTTCACCCAGTTTTAAATCTTAAACACAATCTAATACTCAGGATTCTTTGGCTGTGATTGTGTCTTTGTATTCACATTATTGAGACTGCAAGGTGTGCGGTAATGAGTAAGGGGTAATTCTCGTTATTTCGTGGGTAAGGACCAGTGGCCACTGGAAGCACACAAGATGTTTAGCCACTGATGTTTGGAGAATCAGGAGCGTGCTCAGATTTGCAACATGTGCTCCCAACAGGCAAGATCTCTTGGCCAAGTGGCAAAGTCAGATAGTTACTTTTCCAAACTCCAGTATACTGCTCATAAGAGTGATATGATGCAAATAAAAACCAAAAGAACTGCGGATGCTGTAAATGAGGAACAAAAACAAAGTTGCTGGAAAAGCTCAGCAGGTCTGGCAGCATCCGTGAAGGAAAAAACAGAGTTAACGTTTCGGGTCCGGTGACCCTGCCTCAGCGATATGACGCAGGCCATTTTTCACCCTGAATGCATCAGGACAAACAAAAGAATACCAAATTTCAAATGGTTTCAATAATGAACTAATTGGTTAGCCGTTGAAATCAAACAGCATCCTTTTCTCCTGCAATATAAATTGCTGTGCTCATTTGTGGTAAGAGGTAGGATGGTGTGGGGTTGAAGGGGGTAGTGCACTCTTTCAGTACGCAGTGGGATGCAATGGCCTACTGGTATTGGACAATATGTTGGAGGGGCTTGGGTTCAAATCCCACTGTGGCTATTATGGATGGTTCACAAATACTGACCCCACCAGCTCCTCCCATGTATCAATTTAATAAAAACTTAACCTGTTCCAATCGAAAATTACACAGAGCACCCCCTCCCCATTACTGAGGGAATCGTTAGTTAAAAAAAAATCACTGCATCCTCATTGGATTTCTCTTCTGCACAAGGACGGAGGCAATGGCCTAGTGGTATTATTGCTGGACTGTTAGCCCAGAGACCTGGAAATACATTCGGGGGACCTGAGTTCAAATCCTGCCAGGGCAGATGGTTGAATTTGAATTCAATAAAAACATCTGGAATTAAGAATCCTAATGGTAACCACAAATCTGTTGCCGATTGTCGGGAAAAACCCATCTGGTTCACTAAATGTCCTTTAGGGAACAAAACTTCCATCCTTACCTGGTCTGGCCTACATGTGATTCCAGACCCACAGCAATGTGGTTGACTCAGAACTGCCCTCTGGGCAATTAGGGATGGACAATAAATGCTGCCTGGCCAGAGACATCCTCATCCTGTGAATGAATAAAAGAAAAATAAAACAAGCTCCTACAGTTTAAAGTGACTGATATGAAATGTGTCTGCGTACTTTCCCCCACATGCTCTATATAGTTTTAAATATTATCAGTTTTTATTTTAGATTATTGGTAAACAAATAAGAAGGGTTTTGGATACCCAATCCGCAACCAGCTGTCCAAAGTTCACAGATGATACTAAAATGAATGGCAAAGTGTTCAGAGGACACTGACCGTCTACAGAGAGATATAGATAGGTTAACTGAGTGGGCAAGGGTCTGGCAGATGGAGTACAATGTTGGTAAATATGGGGTCATCCATTTTGGTAGGAATAACAGCAAAATGGACT